GTTCGCAGTGGCGCCTCCTCACCTCCCGAGGTGGTCGGGCCGCGGCCCCGGGCAGTCTCCTCAGGGAACCTCGCCGGGGTAGAGGAGCCGCTGCCAGCCCGTCGGCTTTGGAGAGGGTCTGGCGACGGTAGAGGACAGCCCGGCGCTTCGGTGCGGGCGCTCCAGAGGCAGCTGGCGCATCTTGTAAGGCGTCGCTCCGCTTAATTTGCTTTTCCCTACCCCGTCTGGCTGCACGGAGCCGCAGGGAAAGGGTCGGCGGGCCTGTAGCGACGGGGTGCTGGGCTGTACTGAGGGTGCGCTTGGAAGGGGTGGGTGGGCCGGAGGCTTCCGTCTATGAGCGGTGCAGATTTCCACCAGCGTCTTTGCTTTAAGGTTAATACAGCCTGTTTCTTAACAGGAACTGTTGTAAATTTAACACAGAAATGCCGTAGTATTAATCTGTAGTTAACTTTTAATTTCAACAAGTGATTTGAGTAATCATTTATGGAATTATTTTTCTCATGGAAAAAAGGTCACTTATTTAAGACAGTCTTAAAATCTGCAGGACTGGAATCTGAATCTAGATTTTATTGTGGCCTAGAGTTTTGATAAAAGACACTCGAAATCATAAAGTGCATTTTAACTGTTTTGTTTATTGTCTTTTGTAGATTTACCTACCAGCAACTATGGAAAACGAATGAATTTAAATACAAATACCAATGTGTCCTGTTGATGAACCTGCATCACCCCGAGGAAATCACACATCCCAGTTGTATTCTGCTGCGCTTGAGTGTTTTGAAGCCCAGATTGCTGTTAGAGCAGTGATCCTCATGCCTCTCATTCTGAACACCTTGTTTGGAGAAGCAGCAGCTCATTTGCAGCTTGAGAAGCCTTGTTCTGCAGTGCTGATTTCTCTTTCATATTCCAAGAGCAAAGATGAAGAAGCAGCCTAGTCTGTGCATCTTGGCCTCTGTTGTGTTTCCAGTGTTAGAAGTTGGACCTTAGCTGGGGAGATAAAAACCCTTAAAGCCGAAGCAAGGTGTAAAATTTACAAAAATCAGAGGAAAGCTAGATGTGACAGTAAAGGGTTAGCTCATCCTGAGAAAGATGCTTGTGCCTTAAAGCTGGCTTCTCAGAGAACTTGGTAATTCCGCAAGGTGTGCCACATAGCACTGAAGTTGAAAGATGCTCATAAAATCCATGAAAGGGGTCTTGATGTGGATTGTGGCTTTAAATGTGTTTATAGTCGCATGACTGTGTGGGACGTAATGGAAAATCATTTAAAATCACATAAGCAGATAGAAGAAATCCACCGGTGCTTCATCTGTGAAAGTGTTATGTCACAAAGTGCCTGGAAAGCGTACAGAAACAGCCATCGGAAGAAACCTCATCTCTTTCAGCGCACAATATATTAATCATCTTTTGAAACTGAGTGAGTAAGAAATATCAGTGTAGCTTGCCAGTATCAGGATATGTTTAAATGTCCACGCAAGTGATTTCACCAGTAAGTCAGATTTTGTTTTTTATTCTCATACAGTTGCCTCGGCTGTAAACTTACCCGTGCACATAACTTTATTTGATCAGTGCAAAATTTATTAGAGTTTAAGCATGAGTTGTAAATGCTGTCATGAGAAGCTACAGTAAAACATATTCATACTTGTTTAAACAAAGAAAGTAAAAGAATTGCAGAATTTCTAAAAAGCATTGTAAAGATTTGCTTTTTGATGATCCTTAGTTCTGCAAAATCCTGACTCATTTTATATTGTGAATTCTGAATATTTCTGGGAGTAGTTGACCATCATATTCCAATAATTTAAATATCACTAGCTTTTTAATAACGGTAACGTTAATGTAGATGTACTTCTATCAAGATTGATGCTTTTATCTTTAAGTCTTATGACATTGCTAACAGCTAAATATTATCTCCATTTGTAAATGGAGGACTTTGGCAGAGTAACATAATCTATGTCTCTTAAATCACAAAAGGACACAATTCTGATATTCTAGTGCTGTTCTCCTTTGCATTGACTACAAAAGTTGCTTTTGGTACCAATTGTACTTTATTTAAGCAATGAGGGAAAAACATAAAAATGTTTCTGTTACTGACTGCCAGTGTTCTGCCCTTAATAAAGCCATGCCTTTAGTGCTTCGCTGCAAGTCTGTAGGTGAAATCTTGAAAGATTTGTGTACAAAGGTAGGCTGGGCGTTTTTCTGTTTAATCATTCAGTGTTGCAGGTTATGGCAGTGATTGATTTTATCAAAGTTTCTGTGGCTGCCACTGCTAATACAGAACAAATTCTTGCTGCCTGGGGTGAACCACTGCTTTGGTCTGATTGCTCAGTAGGGCCAGTACAAACCCAGGTAATTTATGTGAAATAAGATGATGGCTCATAGGAGTACTCTGGAGTTTGTGGCAGCGATCAGATAAGAAAACAGGCAATGTTCGAGCATTGGGGAATGTGGAATAACAAGGCTTCCTGTGGCTGTAGCCAGGTCGGGCATTGCATCGTCATTGCCGAGTAGGTTTTGAAGGGTTTAGATTAGATTGTGTGTTGTGCAGTCTAATTTTTGAAGTAGTTTTTGTCCTTGGAGGAGGTGTGGTTGTTCTGAGTTTTACTGTTTAAAAGGGCAGGAGATAGAATTTTCATAGGAGGTTATTGCAGAACTTATGCAGGAAAAGTTACTTTAAAAAAAGGATCATTGTTAGAACTGAAAGCAAAATTAGTGTCATCTTTGCTTCCCGATATACAGTGTCTCCACTTAACTGTGTGTGACTGAGCCGACAACGAGGCTGCAGTCTAGTCTTTCTTTAATAGGTTGGGAAGGAGAGCACATAGAAAGACAACTGAAACTCACAGTATTTCAAAATAGGGATGGCTTATAACAGTGAAAATATTTATGAGTGCTTATACAAACCGTTTTCTTAAGTGAAAGAACTGTTTCATGTTGACAAATTATAAATTGTCTCTTGAATTAGTTAATTTCTTTCCTTTTGGGGAAGGGAACAGGGAATCTCTCTTCCTTACAACTGTAGTGAGAGAACAATCTAGGACTGGTTTATGGGATACTTTTTTTGACAGTTTCCATCACGTCTGGGGACAATGAATTTTGAAGATTATAATTTACCATTCGCTGTTAACACATGCAGAAAGTTAACTTAATTTTAACTTCCTGTTGAACAATTTAGTAGATGAAATACTTAACTTTTAAAGCTATTGGTAGTATTATAGAATTGTAAATATGTGTTTTGAATATTGTTTTCATGTTTGTGATAAATGTGAGCAAAGGAAGCCTTTCTAAATATCTGTTTAACACTGTGCTAATTTCTATGCATTTTTGAGGTGGAGAAGAAACATTAAAATAAATTGTGAGGTCTTCAGCTTGCTAGTATTCTGCAGATGTTCATTCCGTTAAGGAGAGCTTTACTGTAACATTACAAAGAACTGCTGTCTGCCAATTTATTCTGCTTGTGGAGTGAATGGGTATGCAAGCCTTCTTGCTTGCTATGGGGATAGTTTTTGAACTGAATTTTAACTGTAGTCTCTTAGGACTAAGCTTGTGCTAAGCACTAAGCACTTAGTGTCAAGTTTTAGCTGTAATTGCTAACATTATTTACTACAGTGTGCTCTTTGTAACTTTCAACCTACATGAAAGCCTCACTGGTTAGTGGAAAAAATGTACAAATTGCTAAAATACTTCGGTGGAGTATACTGAAGTTTCTTCTTAATTTCTTATTTAGGGCAAAACTGTCAATTTGCCATGCTGAGAGATTCTTACATACAATTATGCAATGTTATTTTTTGTTTACTTGTCTAAATTAAAACAGTTAATAAGATGTATAGTGACAGTTTACCATCTGCATCAGGTTAAAGAGGCAAAAGACCTGAAAGACTGATCACACTACTTGTTACCATTTTTGGTCTTTGAATCTTAAACCTTAAAAAAAAGTCCAGAAGTTGCTACAAAGTTGAGTGATTTTTATATTAAAAGGTTTACAGGAAAGGGTCAGTGGTCTTGATTGCGTTTCCCACTAAACAGAAATCATCTATGCAAAACCCACAACTTCCATCCAGTACTTTCTCCAGACCAAATTTAGACTCTCAGCAGATGTGTTTATAAGAAAATGGACAAGTAAAATGTATTGCATCTCACCGCTAAAAACAATCATTTGAAACTTGGGTATGTTGATGTTTCCTAAGTATCCGTTCCTTCAATATATTTCATATGCTCCATAATTCACATCAGAATAACTCTACTGCTAACTTATTTTAAATTGTGGTTTGAAATCTTTGAGAACTGCTTGTTATCCTGATTTTTTTGTTGTTGTTCTGTTTTGACCTCGGGGGAGAGGAGTGCATTGAGCATCCTGAAGAGCTGAGCTAACCTTGCTGTTGTCACCAGAGCCCCCAGGGTCAAATTCTGTCTTCATAATTTAACAATTGCTTTCTTCTCAAATTTGGCGTCTCAGCCAAATTCAGACTCATACTGCTTAAATAAGCACAAAGCACTTAAAAACTACATAGGAGTTAAGGTTGAGCTCATTTGTTAATAATTGTTTAATGTGGAGGAATGTCTTTCTTCTATTTTAAATTAATGTGTTTAATCTGATTTTAACCTATTATTAGAAACTATGGCTTCTAATACAGCTAAGGAATGAATCAAGGTCTACAAGCATCTGTGCAGCCATGATTACAAGTTCAACTGCATCCGTGTACTGAATGTGAGAGATGTTTTTTTCCAAGCGTAAGTGAATTTTTTGTTTACTATTCCTTCGCCCCTCCCACTTCAATAAGTATCTCTTACTTTAATTGCTTCGTTTATAAAGTGCAACAAATGCTTTGTAAATACTATAAACATGTACTGGATTTATGATTAAATGTTTTACTTCTGTCTGCTTTTTATAGAGTGGAGGTGAATTTCTCAGTGCTAAATATTTGCTCAATGCAAGTATATGTACAAACAAATTTGTTTTAATTGGTGGAAGAAGGCTTGAAAATTTATTAAGATAGATTAAAACTGTGGTTTGAAGGGGGGTAAAAGGATTAGGGACTTGTTACAGTTTGCCTGAAGGTGCTAAGCAAGGATCTCTGTTTTCAAAGGCTGGTGGTGGTGGTGGGATGTAGCAGCTTCATTGAGCTCACAGCTGAGCAGCTGTTAGGTGGGTAGAGGAGAAAAGACGGCAACACTACTCAGTGCTGGGAATCTGGATGCAGGGCATGAGATGCTGGGATTTTAGATATTTTTTTTAATGTTGATTTGAGTTTCTGATGGGCTTATTCTGGCAATTGGTAATTGCTTGATTGGATAACCTGTTAATTTAAAAGGAAATGCTTTGTTAAATTAGTAGCAGCAAATTTATCCTCCTTCATCAGTCTTGCTTCATCTTACTCAGTGAGAGCTTTATTTCCATCCACAATAGGTAGAGATTCTTGCTTCATACAAGGAAGACTCTGTATTACCTCACAGTTTTATTGTTGAGGTTTTTTTGTTATCAAACTGTGTCCTTCACTTGGAGGGAGGGGATACTATACTGCTTAAAACATCAGAGCTGAAGAATACTTCAAGTCTGGAGCTTTTCTGATTTTGTGTCAGTGTGACTGGAAAACCACCAAAACTGTAGTACTCTGAATGATGGGCCAGCCAGGTCCAATCTACAGTTTAGATCTTTTTTGACCAAGAGTTTGGTCTCTGATTCCTTTCTGGACATTTGATGATGTCAAAAGTACGGGTTGCAGTTCATACTGTTAGGAGCTCCAGTTTCTCAGACCTTGACCTACAAAGTCCTAGATTTGTGGCTAGTACAGAACTATGTGGAGAGACTTCTTCTTACCTTGTTCTTTGCCTTCAACTGATACTTTCAAAAACAAATCACCCAAAATTATTCAACCAATTTTCTAGAATGCATATGGGGGAAAAATTTCTGTTCATAATGTTTTCAAGTGGAACCAGTAAGACTGTGGATACCTTTTATTTAAAAAGCCCTAATAGTCCATGACTTGCAGGAAAGATCTAAGCCTCTTTCAGATGGTGTCTTATGTTAGAATAGATGAAAGGCATGCTCCTGATGCAAAAGTCTGTCAAGATTTGACCTCTTCACAGCCTCTGAAAAAACACGGTGAAGATACATTACTGCAGGAAGCTGATTGTGCTAAACTGTTTTAGGGAGGCAGGGACAGGAACTAAGAAAACTTGCCAGTTTTCTTTGGTGCTTGGCTGCAAAGTTTTGAATTCTTTCATAGAGACCATATAAAAAAAGTTGGATTCTAAAGACTAGAGGGGCTGGAAAACCTGTGAGAAGTTGGTATAGGATGTGATGAGATGAACTTTAGGAGCATTTGGCATGTTAGGAAGACTGCCACTGGGACAAGCTGCAGTGGGCAGAGAACAAAATAGTGGGGAGTCTCAAAGAATGAAAATAACTTAGGCAGTGAGGTGACCTGATGTGGACAGAAAGGATTTGGAGTCTCAGACATGTGAACCAGCATTAAAATAACAGGGTACACAATTAATTCTATTTACTATTGTTGTCATTACTCAAATGGCAGTTAGTTCAAGCACCAAAGGTTTCTGGTATGTTGAAGGGTTTCAGCAATGCTAGTCAGCCCAAATACAGTTCTGCATTGTGAGATCCAGAATTTGGTTTAACTTCTTAGGTATTTTGTTTCAAAAACTAAAGCCTAAAATATGTTAAACGTGTTTTTAAAAAGCCCACAAAAATTCAAGAAAACTCACAATAAAGGTTTTAAAGTCAAACATTCATCTTCTGTGTAAGTGGGTACACTTGCAAAATCTTCAGTTGCCTGGCTTGACTGTGTACGGATTATTTTTTTTGTCCCCCAAAAGGATTCTTCCAAAATTCAGTGTGTAGAATGGGTAGTGCTTCATTAGCCTTGGTTTATTGTTTAGTGAACATAGAGTATATACACACAAAGCAACAAAATTAAGGTTACCAAGGCAACTTTAATTTTGGCAATTCCTAATTTTTCTTTCTTGGTTTAGCAACCTTAATGAACTGGGATTTTATCTGATTTTTAATACAGGATTTATTTTGTGTTGTAGGTAATACATTGGAAATCTAGCTTAACGTACTAAAATAAATTACCAAAAATGCTATCATCTTTAGCAGTATGTGCTGTATGCCCTTAGTTACTAGACTGTAAGACATATGGTACAATGCTGTATGAAAGTTTACATATCTCTTTCCTTAGGTCCTGTGACGTCTAGACCCTTTAGGGTCACTGGCTTCAGCTCCATCCTAACATTTATTGTGTTGCTGGTGATGTACTGACCACTGAACCACGCTGGAGAAGCTGGTGTACGCTGAATGGAGGGTCAGGTGGGTGTCTGTTTATTCATAATGCTGTCTTGAATATACCATCTCAGAAAACCGTAAGAGGCTTAAAAATTGGGGGTTTTTATCTGTAAATGATCATAAAACTGGCAATTTATTCTCCCTTCTCCCCTAGTCACTAGAGGCTCCATAATCCAGCAGCGTTTGTACCTGATGCTTGCTGTGCCATCTCATTGAAAGGAATTGACAATTTAATAAATAAGGCTTGATGACACTGAGCGAGGAAAATATTTTTTAATTCCTTCAAACAGCAGTATGCTGAAATGTCTTACATTACCAAGTTCTTGTGGGGAGCATTTGATACATTGCTTAAATTAATGGATTTTACAAGTCACCTTCAGAGCTGGTGCAACTGTTTTGAGATTGATTAATTTCCTGTAACAAATAACATCAGCTTTTATATCTCGTTTCTAGGCTTTAGGGAGAGTGGGAGTGTGAAAAGAGAATTTTTGGTACTTTGTTACTGAAATAGTTAACTCATACAAAAGCAGTAATATGTAAGTCAGGACCAGAAAGACTGAGTCAAATTAAGTGAATCTCTGCCAAATGATATCTTCTATGGATGAAAGTATTCCACTTACTCTGTAGCAAATGCTGGCTATTTTCTCAATAATCTTAACAGGTTTATTTAATTTTTTTCTTAGTCTTAAAAAATACACTATATATTTAAAAGTGTGTGCAGCACTGTGTTTTTTTAAGTATGTATTTTAGGTTGGAAGTGACTGTCATTTCACTGATCATGATATCAGTCTTAAATAGCATAAAATTATTACTACATTTAACAACAATCTAAGGAAGTAAACAATATTTGGATACTCCTGACATAATAAAAATAAATCAGTTCCTTGCAATGTAATAGCTATATTATAGAAATATGTTGCTTGTTCTTTATCTACAGTTGTAACCATCACTGGAAGTTGAGGAAATTTAGAAAAGACAACTATTTAAAATGTGCATTGTTAGATAAAACTTTTGTATGATAAATACATTGTAATCTGTTAAACCTAATGGATTCAGGTTAAATGAGATACCTGAAAATCAGGTTTCTCCTTGCTTTGTCACTTTTAAAAAACAGGGATATTTATTGTGGTGGCAAGTGTGTCAAACACAGTAGCAACTTTTCAAATGCTATCATTTTTATTATTATAATTTGTGCTTATCTAATTTTGTTTTTCACTTTCTTTGTGCTGAGCAGCACTGTGGCAATTTTATACTGAAAGTGTGCATCCAAGAATGATAATCTGTACTTTTAGGGTGGGTGTGAATGGCAGTTAAACACTGCTGTTAAGCTGTCTGTCTATTCATTGTATTTAAAATAATGTGCAAAAGTGAAATAGAGCAGTTTTTTCCTCAACATTACCTATATTTAACAACTTGGATCTAATTCTGCCCTACAGTTTCGGGGCGGGGGGAAACAACACCAACCAAAACCCACTAAACAAGAAAAAAAAATGAAGCAGAAAACCCAACCCAAACAAATGGCTTATCTAGCTTTTATGAGAAGCTATTTTCTTCCTTTTGTGTGTATGTTTCACAAACATAAAACAGAATGATCAGTGAGGTTTTTCTCTGTTAGTAGACTGAATTATAAGGATTACAGTATGTCAAAAACCCCTCTACAAGTTTGTCTTTCACCATATCTCAAACTCTTAAGTCTTTCAGTCACTGATAGTAATATAAAATATTAGTTGATACTGTATTTATTTCTTAATTGTCAATCTAGAGAAGAGTTGAAAAAGCATATGGAAAATCACAAAAACTTCTACACCCTTCTGTCTTCATTTTGGGATCAAGTATTCAAAACCAGACGTCAGGTGAATGAACATCACAAATCCATCAAGAAAAAACAAAACAAAATATCAAAAAACAAAATGAAGGAGAAGAAGAGAAGAAAGAAGGCTGAAGATAATCCTGTGTGCTCCAGCCCCAAAGCAACTAGAAAGAAGGATTCCAGTTAATTAACATGCAGTATCTACAGTAGGTATGACCTGTATTATAGCAAAACTTGCTATTTTGTTTGTTATGCTCCGAGTGCTTCTGTAGATCTTCATTTCAGAACAATTTAACATGGCACATTTATTTATTTACTTATTTTTACAAGAAAGTTGCCCATAGCCTGAACAAAAATAAGGTACCCCATTCAAATAGCTGTCTTCTACTTGGTTTGTGATAGTACCAGTATTTTGAATAAAGTAACTAGGTACTGATAAAAAGGTGCTTCTAAAGGCTTTTTCTTACATTTTTTTATAAACAACAACAAAGGAGAGCCACTGAGATGTGTGCTTTGAAGAGCCAAGAGATGTGCTATAAGACTTCTTGGAATGTTCCACGTAAACTAGACTTAAAAAAATGTGACAATCTACAGCTTCCTTTGCAGTCATGGCTACGTTTCTAAGAGGCATAGTTATTGAAACACCAGTTTTATCAGTTATCCTGGTTTCAGCCAAGATAAAGCTAATTTTCCTTCTTACTAGCTAGGATAGTGCTGTGGTTTGACTTCAGTATGGGATTTGGTATAGGAATGTTGATAATACACAGATGTTTTTAGTTGTTGCTAAGGTCTTTTCAGCTTTCCATGTCCTGCTAATGTGCAGGTGCATGTGAAGCTGGGAGGAAGCATAGCCAGAGCAGGGACCCAAACTGGCCAATGAAATAGTCCATATCATGAAACATCATGCTTAGTATATAGATGAGAGTTGGCTGGGAAGCTCTGGCTCTTCTGGGATTGTGGCTTCAGGATTTTCCCTCCTCTGGGATCACTAGCCAGGAATAGACTAGGCATCAGTCGGCGGGTGGTGAGCAATAGCATTGTGCATGACTTGTTTGTGTATTTTGTTATTGCTGTTGTTGTTATTATCATTATTATTATCATTATCATTATTATTTCAATTTTTATTTAATTTCAGTTATTATTTTTATCTCAATTTATGACTCTCCTTACCTTTACCCCTCCAATTCTCTCCTTAAGTGTGAAGGCTTGGACTACAGGCCCAAGCCAGAGTTGACCTGTATGACCAGATGAATCCTGTGTACTTTATACCTGATAACCATTGTGCTAGTAGGTATTGTACTAGGTTAATACAAGCCACTTATGCAGGTGTAAAAAGTGCTAAAGTGTCCAGAGCAACAGGCACAGAGCTGAAGCTGCTAACTTAGTATGTAATAATTAGTGAAATATGTATGCTCATTAATGAAAGATGTAGCTTAGATATTATAAAACGTGTCTATCCTGAATATATCTTTATCCTTCTTTGTGTGTGGGCAAGTTAACAGAGCCATGGGAGCCAGTTGTCTGGTCTTGGAACCAGCTGTGTGACCTTGCTCATAAATAAATTAGATAAGCAGGGAAGCTCCCTTAGCTTCCTCCTTGAGCCCTGGCCAGGCTCTGGAGGAATCTAATTGAAGAGTGAAACCAGATGTTTCCTCTGAAAACAAAGGTGCCAGGTACTCTGGCTTGCTGATTTTTGGTATATAAGGCTGGGCCCGTTTGCAGCAACTTTGGGTGCCTCACCTATGGGTGGATGCACCGCATAGGATTTCCCACTTGCCGGGACAGGCTCTGCAAACCCTCACTGTAACCGGGGCTGCCCAGCCACTGCGGGTCTGGGTGGTGGTAACATATGCAAGTGGTGATGGAGCTTTCTTAATCACTGTTCTCTCTCTCTCAGGTCATAATGATTTGATGCCTTCCCCAGTATTTTCCTATTTGTTTGCTTTTAAGTGCATTATTCTGTCTTTTCTTACTGCATGTTTTCTGTCTTACTCTGTTACATTAGTTATTCCCAGTAAAATGCACCTGCTCTTTTCACTCTGGTGTCCGAGTTGAATTGGGATCCTTAATCAGCAGAACATCTCCCCCATCCCTGGGGGATGACTGAGTGACTGTGGATTTAAACCATTACATCAGTTAATGCAAAATTCCACTTATCTGAAGTTGTAAGAGTTAACACTAAGGTTTTGTCTGATCTCAAGTGCATCTTCTCTTCCAAAGAGATCTTGAGAAGGCATTTGATACTTATCTGTTATTCAGAAAAGGTCTTTTTTCCTTTGATAAAGAAGGCAGTAATCTGTGGTTGCCACGCATCCATGAGTTGACATCACACAGTATTCTAATGGTAGCTTTTCTAGTATGTAGGTAGAGAAGTTAGTGTACGTTCCGTTTCCCTATGTTTCTTCTAAGTACGTGAGTTTGGGTTTGGGGATGTTCTTTTTGTTGTTGGTATTGATTATGGCCATACCTGTGTCTGTTACATTATTAGAAGACTTTTTCACAATCTATACCTTCAGTTTAACTATAGAAATCACTTTCTGACTTCTACAGTTGTGTATTTTAATTAATTCAAATTGTCAAAGCTTTTTCCCCAAATATCTTCTTTACCACACTGTTTACTAGGACTGAATTGTCTATACCCAATCTGGATTCCTAGTTTGAAGTTGTCATTGCTCATGTGGAAAGAAATAAATACCTGTTGTAGTAGCTTGCTGAAATTGTTGTAATAAAAAAAAAAAAATGAATTTGAGTTTGGATGGTCAAAGGTCTGATTAGTTCTAGTGAATTAGCAGCTTTTCTAGTAGGTAGGGAGTAGAAAGGGAGTAGATTGATGTGCTTATGGTGTACCTTTCACATAGGCATCTGGGGTTTTTTCCTTCTTTCTTTTTAAATTTAGTCAGTTAACAGGCTGTGTCATAGTCAAAGCACAGTTCAGTCATTACAGATTCACACAGCGGGTAGAGAGGTTGCTCCCAGTGTTCACAGTGGAGTATTTTGAAATAACTTGTCTCAGTTTTAAAGAAGTTGGAGAAGTATAAGGTTAAGCACTTTACATCATTATATCATTACACAGTTATTTTT